CTCAGCCAGAAAATAACCCACTGCCAGGACTCCTCTGTCATTGCAGCTGCTTGCCCTAATATTGTTAGGCACCTCTCTGTGGAACAGTGTTGTATGTAACGCAACTTCCTTTTGCCTTCTTTAAAAATCCACTCTACCCATTACACATCATTTATTCCTTTCCATAGCTTTCCCGTATCATATGGGTTTATGCTGTACTCCCTTTGCCCATAAATTCTTTGGATCAGAGTGGTTTACAAGTTTGGCACAGATCTGGGTTGGTTCACAGTCTGCTCTGCACAGAATAATCCTGCAGACTCCTGAGTGTGTGCTTTCAATCAGATTAGCACATGGCCTCAAACAATGGCTATCCATTCCTACATGAATGTCACTGAGCTGCTTCAGCCATTGCTTATTGTTAGAGTGAGTCAAGTCCCTTCCTGTCCTGTAATGTTGCAAGCACATTGGCAGAGAGCCACAGGCTGGAGATACATGCAGACTGCACTTAGTTTACTTGTATAACACTGTTTTCAGTACTTTCTCATTCTCTTACATAAAAACCTCGCAAAAGATCACTTTCCAGATAGCACAATGAACTGTGGAAGGTTCAGCACAGGTTTTTTTTCATTTTTAGGACAACTAAAAAGAAATACTTCTTATAAATATGTCTTCTATTGTATGCAAAAATCTCTTACTGGCTCTGGATTTTGCCTTGCCTTTGTGTCAGAACAATCAATAAACAATTACCTATTAATAGACTTGTTTTCCAAGAAACAATTAAGTAATCATAAACCATAGCAGCAAGTGGTTCAAATGTGGATTGGATTCGGTTCCACAGTTCTACTTACAATAGTTTTTCCAAGTGCAAATGGGACTTAGTGCAGTTTGTACGTGGATTTTCTTTCCACTGTCATCTATTTGTTATGAACAATTTGTAAATACCTGCTTCAAATGGCCCTCTAAGGATATCCATATATATTTGATGGAGGAGTCAAACAAATTTACCTACTCTACCTTCATAAAAGAACAAACTTACAGAGAATATATAGTAGTATTTCCATATTGAGAAATAGGTTGAATTAATTCCTGTTCTTCACTGCACTGAAAATTTATATTCCTTTTAGCTGTATATTTATGATAAACATGGAGTCGTGTGGTTTGGGATGCATACTGTGCAATTAAATACATTATTCACACCAGATCTATTACTACTGATCAAACAGGGCTAATATTTCTGAGCTGTTATTGATGGAATGTTGTTTTAGAAGGTCATTTTCAAGTAAAGTTGGTGATCACTATTTTCCAGTGCCTTGTGAAGTCCATCTGCGTCTCCACATAAGTAAATGTGTCTAAAAATCCAAAACAGACAGAACTTTATCTGCCCGATACAAATAGGAACTTCAAGAGAGGTCAGTATGAAACTCACCATTCTTAGGACCTAAATCTGTCCATATATAAAATAAATTAAAATGAAGTAATATTAATATATAAAAAGGGCATTATGTGACTCACTATATATAAGTGATATATATAGTTTAAAATATATTTCATGGAAGCCACCTGTCTTGCTGTCTCCAAGATATCTGGGTCTGAGCTGGGTGAAAGCGAGCTCTTTAAACATTCAAATCGACTGTAGATTCTGTAGATTTGAAAGTGCACACTCAATACATCATGTCTAAAAATGCTGGTTCATTTTCTTCATTTGGTGTTTTAAACCAGAATGAGCAATACCTGTTATCCTCCAGTCTCCTTCCAGCAATGCAGAACAGAATACATGAGTAGCCCACATAGCACTTAGCAAAGAACAACTGGCACAAATGTCAACGTTTGTCTGCACGGTGCCACCACTGCCGACAAATGCCATCTGAACGCCCTGCAGTGTCTGTGGCTGTTTCCTACTAAACATGATTCTGAAGGCACTCAGCAGCAGCTGCCTGCTCTATCCAACACAGTACATCTGGAGATCTTCAAATCATCAGTGACTGACCACATGTAAAGTGCAGCAAAAGATTCTTAGGTCCATCCTCACTCTGGTGTTCCTTTGTTAATTGACACAATTCTTTGTCATCCTTCTGTCGCTGGGTCTGTTGTTTTTTGAGATATTAATGGTGACTTCCTTCGTTGACATTTTCTGTGTGTCCCGTTTACTCTGTGAAAGTTTTAAACAGTACAGTCAGTAGTAATACAGTGAGTGGACAGAGCCATTGACAACTGCCTTCTAATTTATGGAGGTGGCTCTAATTAATGAAAGACCTCAGCGTTCTCTTCACAATGCAGTGACATGAAGCAACTTTCTTATGCAACAGAGACGTAAACTTTTAGCTGCCTTAACGGCTGTGGATATCAGTAGGCTTTGGATCAACCCTTTTGGTTATCATTAGCATTTCCATATGCGTGTATTCTGAAAGTGGAGCAAATCTTTTTTGAGTTCAAAAGTGAAAATTTGGGCTTCCTTTGAATGTCACTTGGAAACAAGTGTAATTAGTCTAAAACAGAATTTTCTCTAGTGTCTCTTAGATTTCATAAATCAAAACATAGTTTCAAAATAACACTTATTTCTGCATATATTTAAGACATATGTACTTGCATATAAGACCTCTATATACCTTCCAGAACTTTATCAGCTTATTTCCAAATATTCAGGAAAGTCCAACTGTCTGGGGCATGCAAGTGCAATCCTAATTTAAACTAACCCTTCTTCATGTCTTAGTTTGTCTGCTTGTTTCCATAAACAACGTGCAATAAATCAGATAAGTGTAGCAAAGGACACTCATAACCAGACAGATATAAACAGAGAATGGAGATAGGTGTTTTTGACAATTGCTCTTCCAATGTTCCATGACACAATTTGCAAATGTAGATAATGCCAAGTAAATGGAGTGTAATTTGCTTGGTAATAATGTTAGAGGAAATAATAATAATGTTAGAGGTAAACTTCCACTGACATGAATGGAAAGTATGTATCTGTCTGAGAGCAAAACCTGGGACTCTCATAGACCAGCGCATATTACTTCTCATGTACGCAAGCTGAATACACCTGCTCCTTTCCTGTCTGCTCTCCCAGTGCTCTCTCACACAATGATTCTCCAAATGCTACATATATCACAAACATCAAGTAGGTTATTGTCAGACAGTGACATAACCTGGACTCCACCTTTGTTTTTGAGGTTGATGGACCTTCACTGTTACTAGGACTGCTTTCATCAGCGAAATCTTTTACTTCCAAGCCATCTTAACAATATGGTATCACAGAATGGCAGGCTGGTTGATTCCGTTCAGAGCTGGGTGCCGAGAACCATGTCCTGCCATTACCCTCATGAGAGAATAGTAAGTTTTCCCAGACACAGCCCACATCATATTCCCTGCCTTTCAACACCGCAAATTGAACTTGTCATGTGAACAACAGTATAAAGAAGTGGAGGCTGTAGAGCATGACGCCTAAGAGAATGGGACAGAGGAAAAGCAATTTACCCCACAAGCCAGTGGGACAACCCAAATCACCTGTGAGCAGCATGTGCAGCATCACATTACTTTCTACAGCATTTAGGAATAATAGGAAAAGTGCTGTCAATGTGACTACTCAGATGAATGAAATGGGCACATTTTGAGTTGAAGGGGTGGAAATAGTCACCTTCTATCCACCAGGCATCTAAACTTTGGGTATCTGAATTGGAAACCTATTATCTTATGCTTCTCTAAATACTCAAGAAATTGAGATTCAGAATGGCAATTCACAGCTGGAGCCTGATGCAGGTAATATGCCTTGCAAACTGTAGGAATTTGCATTTCCTTTTTGGCTGTAAGAAATTTAGACAAATTATCTTCCTTTCTTATATGCATATATTTACATATGTAGAATAATGTTAACACCTTACTAAAAGTGCTACAAGCACTAACTGATGCTCAGGTTCAATAATACAAATACCTTACTGAGCGTATCTTAACTAGAAAAAGGTGGGAGGATGCATTCAAAGCCATGAAGTTCCGGGTCAGGAACCTACACTTTGCTAAGTCCAATTATAGTGAACATTCACACTGTTAATATGTTGTGGAAGTTTGCCCATATTTCCTAGTAAGTCTAAATTTTTCAGTTGCTTGCAAAATGAAAAAAATGTCTTCCCTAGCAATATGTCAGATATACACCATAATTCTCAAGTGAGGCCAAGTCTCTTTCAAAATGGATTAATAAAGATGTCATTTGTGTTCAGCCACTTTCAGACCGACCAATTGATTTTTATCTGTGGGCCAATGTTTATGACAGGCGTTTATGTTTTTTCTTCACAGCAACCTGCGGTCTAGATGTCGTGCTGATGTATGACATGTACCTCTATTTATGGAGCTGTGGCAAGCAGCAGGATTCGTGTCACTGGGAAATGCTTCTGCTCTACAGAAGCGCAGCAGGTAATACAGTGAAGGTTTAAGATAAGCACAAAGGAACCAATCCAGTGTTTGTTAAAAAATCCAAGATAGAGTTTAACATAGATTGTGTTTTCCATTTGCTTGGACCTCAAAGCCTTGCTTTTTCTTGCATGGTCATTACACCGGATGATCCTTCTACAAAGCTTACAATAAGTGAAGAGAGAAAGAGGCAAGGTCTGATCCAAAACCTAGGGACATTGCTGAAAGGACTCCCATCGCCTTCTTCAGACTTTGCATTCAGCCATGAATGAACCATGCAGCACACACAATTTCAGCAAAGCAGTAATGAAGGAAAAGCACACTCCCTTTCAGATTATTGGTCCAAACCATTTGCACAAGACATGACGCAGAGGAACTGAGCTGAAAAACAATATGCTTTTTCTCTTTTTTTTTTTTGCCATAACAACTGCTAAATTAATCACCAATTCTGAGGCCATTCAGGCGTGAGACATCACCAGAGATGCTGGGCCTAATCACGCTCTGGTGTGGTGCAGTCTTTGTACCTCACCCCATTTTAACTGCGACCAGGAGGATTATCACAAAAGTGACGCTGACTCAGCTGAGGCCAGAGCCCAGCAGCAGGCACACAGCTGCACTCTCACCTCTGCTGCTCGGAAGCTGCTCTGCCGTGGTGGCCCAGCTCCAGCGGTGTTCACGCACTGGGCCCCACTGATGGTCCTCTTCTCAGTGCTCAGAATCCCTGTGGTGGCTGGCGTTGTGGTTCCTCCCATCTGAGTTGATTTGCCATCCTCCAGAATACCTAGTGAGGATACGGAAAATTGTCAATTAGTTCTGAGCAGTGATTGGTAACTGTGGCTTCTTCCTATTTCACCCCTTTTTGTGACAGTACAAGCCAGAGAAGGCACTTCATGGTACTATGGTGAGAGCATCCTACCTCTTTTTGTAGCTTTATAGTTACATTTTGGATTACTTGCCCTTTCTCCTGTAGTTCACCATGGTACATTGGCTCAGAAAAGATGGAAAATGGGTTAATGAGTGTAGTACATTGGTTGCAGCTCCCCATCTGCTTCAAACATTGCGACTTCCCACACACAGCAGTCTGCACGACTGAGGGTTTGTCTCAAGACCCGGAGGCAAGCATCAGAGAGAGCTCCTCTTAAAGCTCTTTCACTCACAGTAAATGTAGAGCTTAGAAGTGACCATAACAGATGCAACCAATATGGATGGGAAGATTACTCTATTTCTGGCCTCCTTTTTTTTTAGCCATAATTGGAGGAAAAAAACTCAGGGAAAATACATTTCATACTCTTTTGAATATCAGTAATCAAATAAATGACTAATTTACATTCTGCTCTAGCTGAGTGGAGAAGACAGGCATTGTACAGTATGATACTGGCCAGCCTAAAAGAATTTTCTCATTTTATTGCATTAACAAAAATCAGTTCTCATTTATGGGGAGTGAGAGCACTGTGTCTGGCTATGACACCAGTTCTGAAATCCACACAAATTGCAAGTGAGATGTATGACTGTAGCTCTTTATTTTATTTCCAACAAAGCTTGTTTATGAAGAGCCTTATCAGAATAAAGTTAACAAGAAAAACTGACATATAGATTTACTAACTGGCAGTGCAGATATCAAAACTGAAGAAGCAAGGAGTAACAGATTCTAAGGGAAAAATACATGTGAGGAAAACCCAGGACAACTCGTTGCTACTTGAAGTGTGCATTGCATCACAATCATGTGCATTCTGCCATGAATCAGGTGGGAATCCAAGCACAGTATTAAGAATATTGAAAGTGAAGCAAAGTAAAGCCTGAATTATTCCCCAGAGATCTGTCAGAAAAGCTGCTTTATCAATAGAAAGCAACATTGCTTTCAAAGGCAATGACTGAAATCAGTGAAGCTTCACCCAAATATCCAAAGTCGTGGTTTTGAAAATATGTAAAGCTGTGTAAGATTTATAAAGCCTAAATCACTTCCCTATGCAGTCTTGCCATTGCACTTCCCTAAGCAGTCAGAAGATGGTGTTAGAGTTTTCCTAGGACAGCTTAATTTGTGGTGATTACTGAGAATAATGCTAAATTGTCTTTTTTGATAGAAAAAAAATACTGATTTGAAACTTGAAAATGTTATAGTTTATTTATGAAATTTAAAAAAACCCTTGCATTTTGAAGCTGTATTCTGCTGCTAGGTATAAAAACTAATGCTGTTCTTACATATCTACAGGTCACTTCTCAGAGACCTGTAAGCCAGTCACATCTCAGAGACCAGTAAGCCATGTCTTCTGCATCTCCAGAAAGTCCATCTCAACTTGAACTTTAGGTCCTACATCTTCTTCCTATCACTCCACAGTGCACAATGAGAGAGAAGAGTGTCATGAAGCAGTACAGACTGATGCAACACAGAAAATCAGTTTTTAAGAAGGAGAGGCCAGTAGCTAAGCCTGAGTATGAGCTCTAAACCATGGCATAGTTTGTTTAGTCATCTTCCAGTGGAGCTCTGTGAGCAAGCTGAAGCACAGCTGTGAACAGGCAAAATGCGCTGGGCATTCCCTACTAATTTCATTAATTGAATCTTGGACATTTTAAGCATATATGATGCTTAAAATATATAGCATATATGATGTTTTGAGATTTTCATTCTATGGAATTACCTTACTGAATTACTTCCCACCATGTGTCTCTTTGTCTACCTGGCCTCTAAGTAAGTTGTCTTGTGAAACAGCTGTTCACTGAACAGTAGCTTTGTTATTAGGCACAGTTTAAGTCTTCTGGTGTCTATAGAACAACCTTTCTTACATCAGTACATTTTTGGAGGCTGATGGAAGATTTCAACCCTGCAGATGGTGTACATGGTTCATTTTGTGTCCTCTGCTTGTCTGCAATCCAATTCTCATCTTTTGCAAGGTTGAGACATCAGAAGTTCATGAGGTATCAGCATCTGAGTCTTCCACTGCCACTCACTGTATATTAATGAAGGTGACCTCATGGTCAGCAATACTAGATGATCTCACTTGTGCAGCAAGCTTTCTTATTTTATTCTGAAAGATGATTGTTGTTCTGAAGTTAAGAAACTCCAGACTGCAAACCAGAGATGATGTTACAGAAAAGATAGGAGCAGATTGTTGCTTTTTAAATAGAAACTATTTTGCATTGCTATTTGGGGTTAGTCACAGTACACAGAAAGGGAAGAGCTGACTTTCTTCTCCTGTATAGTCTGGAATTTGCAACCTAACAGGCTGGTAATACTCAGCCCTGCCTCAGTGTCATTTAAAGCAAGTTAACTGTCTGGTTACTGATACCAGCCCCACAGTATGGGTTCAGTAAATATCCTTCACAGACTTTCACTGTAGAGCTTTAGTAGAAATATAACTGAATGGGCTCAGTAACGTTACTTCTCCCCTGCAGTCAGGACAACCCCTGCCAGAACTCTGTGGGCCTCCTGAGCCCAAGGAAAGTAGTAGATCCCATCACAGTGCTCTGACAACTCCACTTTTTTTTAACTTCACATGAACTGGCAAGTCTAGAATATTCTTCTGTCTCTGCTCCCAAAATCAGGGTTTCTGAGTGGTTATCAAATCTCCATCTTCTCCTCAGGAATGACAAACAGTGTTTGGTCCCCTTGATGGCTGCAGGGAGAGCACACACCAAGCAGCCCCAGAAATCCTAATCTCACTTTGCAGTGAGAACTGCACTTAGAAGGAGTTGTTTTCCTCCAGCAATAGGACAGTTTCAACTGGCCTGCTAGGCTGCACATGCAAGTTAATGCTTGTATTTCTTAGCAATTCTGATGAAATCTTTTAGACTGTAGTTCGACAAACACCTCTTTCAGTAGCATCGAGGGAAAAAAAAAAAAGAGCTTATTTTTAATTGAACTCAATCCCCAGGCTTCATCATCCAGTGACACAGGTGGTAGCCTTGGCACAGCTTAGATGGTAATGCAGAAAGCAGAGAACAGCTGGAGCTGGGATGGTCACACACAGCTGAGCCCACTTGCCCAGCTACACCTTCTGCTCACAGAGCTGCCTTGCTGGGCTACCTTAGTCCTTCAGAGGTGTGTTCATGTTGCTCCAAACTATCCCAGAATCAGGAGACGCATATTTACTTCATCCAGTCAGCATGGATTCACCAAAAACACTTGGTATGTAACAGCAGAAAGCATCCCAAAACTCCTAAAGTTGCTGGTGTGGAGAAGGGACATGACAGACTGCTTACACAAGTCTGGTGGTTTAGACCAAATTATCTTCAAATAATCTCTTTTTTGTTATCTATGAATTCAGAATTTGAATAATTTTGGAATAAAAAATTGCACGTTTCTGCTTTTTTATTTTCCAATTAGAATATTGGCATAAAAATACTGTTTGAACTTTCACAAATATGACAGTTCAGAAAAATTTGGATGGAGTCAAAAATCAATTTCAGTTATTTAATGTGTCACATAAAAATTGAAATTGGTCTCTATGATATCTGTGCATCTTCCAAGTGTTCCACAACTTAAAAGAAGGGTATTTAAGAGCAATTTCAAGAGCTGTATGAATATGGAGTGAACAAAGAGATACCTGAAATGAAAGGTGTCTCAATAGAAGCACAAAGACTGGTGATATAGGAAAATTTGTCTGAAATATATATCCTACATGAAGAACAGAAGGCCTATTAAAGGTAATATAAACTCGTAGAGCAGGACAAAGGAGAGAGAATGCCATATTTCTCTCACTATCAATGCAAAAATTCAATGGTCTTTTCAGGCAGGCTCATATAAGCAATTGCTTATATTGCTTATATAAGCAGTATATACATTCTTTATACCAAATAATAAAATTAGCCCTCCAAGAACCACTGCTGCTCATACTTAATAGTTTTTCAAAGCTCAGAGTATTCAGAGTCATAGTAGGAAGCAGAGTTTTTCCAGTCTTCATGGGATAACTGCCTACATTCTTCACTGTAAGTAATGAAAAAATCAACATGTACAAGCAAAGATCAGAATTAGTTTTTAGAAGGGGGAGTCTGTAAGCTTCAATCATTCTGTTACCTTAGCTCTACCCCAGCTCTAAATCTCTCTTTGCTAAGTAACCATTGCTATCATCAAGCTCCTTAGTATTTCAGACTTTTAAGTCATGGATTAGAGAGGGACAGGACACTGCTAATGTTGCCAAGAAATTTGGAAGGGGTTTGAAGCCTTGTAGAACAGACTTAATCTTAGCCATAAGGCTCAGAACTTTGAGAATAAATGATTTCCCATATGTTTCTCACGTTGTTCTCCTCCCTGGAGTCAGAAGATCAGGTGGTGGCAACAGCTGGGCACAAATCTGACCGCAGTGCGCTGCAGGTCTAACCCAGCACTGTGCACCCTCTGCTGTCCTGTGGCACAGTCGTGAACAAAAAGCATGGGATTGTTCAATGGTCACATTTATATCTTTGCAACTGACTCAGCCAAACCAGTAAGGTTGCACTTTCTGGTTCAGCAGCGCCTTTTGTTTTGTTTGCTTATCACGGCTGCTATCTCCTGAATAATGCATAAGATACCGGTTTGCAAAACGCCTGCATCATGTGATAGCCAGGCACACTGCACTGTAAAGACTCAGAAAACGCGCAGTAAAGAAGACTGAACACTGCTACCACAACATGCAGCTGCTTCCAGAGAAAACAGGTATTTGGTATCATCACTGAGTTCCTTGCTTTTAATGACACACAGATGGAAAATAAGTATACAGAACACTGAAATACCTGTCTTCTATGTCTGCTCTCCTGATTTGAATCTACTCATGCTTGGAAAAAATATGCATCTGCACGACTGTATGT